TGTTGTTTTGTAAGTGTGTGTTATTATGTGTAATTTTGTGTTGTTTTGTAAGTTTGTTTTGTTTTGTTTGTAAGTTTGTGTGCTATTCTGTAAGTTTGTTTGTTGTTTTTTAAGTTTGTGTGTTGTTTTGTAAGTTTATGTGCTGTTATGTGTTGTTATGTGTAATTTTGTGTGTTGTTGTGTAAGTGTTGTTATGTGTAATTTTGTGTGTTGTTGTGTAAGTGTAGTTTTGTGTAATTTTGCTATAATCTAGCAGGTGATTGACGGGTACTCTGGTGTAATTTGCTCCTTCTTTCCTGTCAAAATCTCTCCTCCTCCTTTTTTTGTGTTTGTTACTCTCTTGTAACACCTCTATTCTTTGGCACTAATATGACCTTATTGTGTCGTAGGTGCCGTAAAACTCTTACTTAAACCAAAGACTAAGAAAAGTCACTCAACAACCTTTGTCTCTGCTCACAGGCTGACCTTCCGACCTTGCCCTCTGACCTCCAGGGGGAGACTTTCTCCCACGTCTTCGGAACGAAAACATCCAGGTAGGTATTTGGTTGGCGGGTGCTCTGGTGTGGTTTGCTTCTTTCCTTTCAAACATCTATCGTCCTTATCTCTCCTTCTTTTTTGTGTTTGTTATTCTCTTGTAACACCTCTAATCTTCGGCTCTTATACGACCTTATTGTGTTGCAAGTGCCGTAAAACACTTACTAAAACTAAAAACGTCCAGGTAGGATAAGATTGCTGGTATTGTTTCTTCACACAGCTAATTTGGGAAAGTGCTTTTTTTTACAACTGAATTCTTGGTGTGTGTTTTTTAATAGCCTTTAACTCTTTGTTTCATTTATCTGAATTTAAAACTGCGGGGCTGTCGTGGCCGTACAGACACATGGACAAGCATGATGGCTAAGTGAAGTGATTCGTCGGGACTGGCAAATTCCCCACTACTCTCAATTCATTGTCTGTTTTATTTATTTATTTATTTTAAAACATTTTTTTTTCTAAATGTGGGTGGTTGACGGGTGCTCTGGTGTGGTTTGCTTCTTCTTTCCTGTCAAACACCTATTGTCCTGATCTCTCCTCGTTCTATTTTGTGTTTGTTACTCTCTTGTAACACCTCTATTCTTCGGCACTTATATGACCTTATTGTGTTGCAAGTGCCGTAAAACTCTTACTAAAACTAAAACTAAATTTGTTTTTCCTGCTCTCAGCCTGGAGTTATTGCTGCTCAACAGAAAGATGAAAGGCCCGGCCTGGCTGGACCTCAAGTGTCCCCGTGAGTTCTCTCGGATAATTATCATGATTGTAATTGTAATTATAAAGATAATAATACATAGCTGCAAAGTAGTACGTTAAAAACGTATTTAGTACGATTTTTGGGGTTTGAGTACGGAAATCCGTTTTGGCATTGGAAAATACGTTTTCAACTTTTCCCCCTCTTAGTTTCAATACAAACTGGCTTCAAGCAAGAAAAATTAGAACATTTATGACCGGATAGGCAAAGTACAGGAGTCAACAAGACGACGAGAGTAGTGTCCCTGCAATTAAACTGGAAGTCGACCTCCTTCCGCGAGTTGTG